CACCGAGAGCGCAGGCCCCAGGCCCAAGAGTTCAGCCGCAAGGTAGGGTGGGCGGGGTTTGTCTCGTGTGGGCGTGGTTTGACTTATGTGGGCGGGGTTTGGCTTCTGTGGGAGGGGTTAGGTTCTTGTGGGCGGGGCACGGCGGGGCCTAGCGTGGGCCTGGAGGGCGTGGCTCCCATAACCTGGAGCTGAGGACTGTTCCAGGGACAGCCCCATGAGAAATAAGATGACGGCCCAGAGACTAGGTGTGCACCTAATGTGCCTGTGCTCGCGTGACTTGTGCAGGTTGCGTTTCTCTTTTCCTGAGGGACACAGGGGGATGCAGGAACACAGTGAAGTGTATTAAGTGAACAGCTCGATGCATTGTACATGTGAACATGCCTTTGTAACCACTTCACCCTGACCAAAATACAGACGAGTAGAGTACAGACAACAGAATGTAGAATATAGAGTGTTTCCCTCACCCAGAAGGTTCCTATGCACCCCTTCCTCGTCTCTCCGCCCTGTCGAGAAGTAACTGCTACTCTGACTTCATCGTCATAGATGATTTTGCACCTGTGAACGTCATATAAATGGAATTACTCAATACTCACTCTGTGGTGCCGGACTCCATGTGTTCAACATTATATCTGTGACTTTCACCCACGTGTGCATAGAAGTTAATCATTCTTTCTTTTTTTTCTTTTTTTTTTTTAATCATTCTTTCTATTGCCTCTCTGACTAACGTAGTGTCGTAGTCCACTTGGGCTGCTGTAACAAAATACCAATGACCAGGCGGCTTACACACAACGGGAATTTATTTCACCGTTCTCTGAGGATGGCAGTCTGAGGTCAGGGTGCCTGCATGGTGTGGTGAGGTCCCTCTTCTGAGCTGCGGACTTCACATGTGTCCTCGCATGATGGAGGGGGCTTGGGTGCTCTCTGAGGTCTCTTTTATAAGGGCATATTGCCCTGGCTGGTTTGGCTCAGTGGATAGAGCGTCAGTCTGCAGACTGAAGGGTCCCCGGTAGAGGTCATGTGCCTGGGTTGCAGGCTTGATCCCCAGTAGGGGCCATGCAGGAGGCAACCAATCAATGATTCTCTCTCATCATTGATGTTTATTCTCCCTCTCCCTTCCTTTCTGAAATCAACAAAAATATATTTTTTAAAAAATAAGGGCACTAATGCCATTCGTGAAGGCCCCACCCTCAGGACCTAATCACCTCCCAAAGGCCCCACCTCCTACTACCACCACATCAGACATTAAATTTTCAACATATGAATTTTTTGGGGGGGAAGAGGGGACACAAACCTTCAGACTGTAGCAACTAGTAATGTCCGCTGTAATCCAGGTGATCTGCTATAGAACCAAAGACCTGTCCCAGACTCCATCCAACCCCTGGAAAGTCAGAGAGGGGCGTGATCAGAGCCCCCAGCAGGACAGGGTGGCCACCCGCAGAGGAAGGAAGCCGGCTGCTCTGTTTTCTGGCAAGAGGGCACAGGAAGTGGTGGGTTCTTGTTAGGGCTCACCAAGCCCCTCCCAAAGCTGAGGACAAATCCCAGAAAAGACTGCCTCGGGCAGATCCAGGGCATCTGCGGAGCCCCCCCGCTGGCCCTCACCAATCGGCTCCCGGGTCCTCGCCACACCCTCCTGCCCCAGTTTTTCCTCCTTGAAGAACCTGATGTTAAATAGAAAGCCCATCAGTGTCCCGTGATGGCGCCTCATGCTTAGATGTAGGTTGAGAGCGGCGGGATAACAGCTGACACCAAAGCCGCTGTAGCCCAGGCCCCGGGAGGGAGCGACTATTTTTTCCTCTTTCTTACAGAAAGCGGCTTCCCAGCCAGCCATGTTCTCCTTTGAATCGGGGCTGCGGCTGACTTTGATTTCACAGCCGCCACCCCCCCTCCCGCATTGCTCAGCATGGTGGGTACAGGAGGACAGGGTGCCCTACCCACCGCCAGGGAAACTGAGGTCGGCAGGGTGGGGTGCAGGAAATGCAACGTGAGAAAGGCCAGCCAATCCCAGCTCTTTGCTTTGGTTCCATAAACAGCTGCTGAGCGTCGAGCGCCTGCTGTGTGCCAGGCTCTGTGCTTGGGGCCGGGCAGGAGTGAGGGCTCCGGCTGGGTGTGGTGTGCATGTGCCAGGCCTCAGGCATGCCCAGAACCTGGACCCTACTGATGCCTTCCAATGCCCTGCATCGCTGTGTCAGCACTGCTGGAAAGCCACCTGAATGCCCTTGTGCCACCGGGAGGAAGCCGTTGGACACACGGTCCTGAGGTTCAGGAGCCCGCTCTGGGCTGAAACACAGACATGAGAGTCACCGCGGGGTCCTTGGTCCCAGCGCTGTCAGAACCTGCAAAAGGCGGGGGTGGGGGTGGGGGGGGCAGTTGAGTGGAGAGAGCGGGTGTAGGCAGTGCTGGGCCAGGAAAATTAAAGGCGTCCTGATCTCCCATCATTCCTTGAGGAGCCAAAGCCCCGGGCAAGCTCCCTACCCGCCAAGGCTGCAACGTAATGGGCAGGGCATGGCCTCCCACCTAATTTGGGGTTTTCCTTTCGTTCAGCCAAGAACCTACAACTATCTCCCCGCTGAATGCCACATGCCCATTTCCACGCGGCACAGACTCCTCTGGGTAGATTAGCACCAGCTGGTTTGTACACAAAGACAAAGGGCACAGAAGTCCAGAGCGCGCGGAAGGAGTCAAAATTCAGAGCTAAGCGCGCACTCCTGGCATTCTGTGGGGCCAGAATGTTCTCTGCGGGTCTCAGCGAGCGAGGTCGAAGGCAGCGTGTGGTACAATGACAGTAACTAGCCACGACTGAGGCCTGGCACGCATGTGAGCTCTGTACTGATGCCTTCCGTCCGGACACTGTTTAGCAGGAGGGCTGTCCCTGGGCCTGAGTCCTGACCCCGTGACCTTGGGCGAGTCTCCTTGGCCTCTGCCAGCCTCGATTTCCTTAAATGTAAAGAGAAGGTCGTAGCCATGCCCACGCCACAGGGCTGTGGAGGTTTCGCAGGGAGAGATGCGGGGAACGAGCTCGCTGCTGGGCTAGGCGGTGCTGCTCGGGTCAGCCACCCAGCACGGGTGAACTGAGGGAGGAAGGGAGGGGCGGTCATTCCCCGCCCGGCTGCCCGGGGGCCCCTAAGATCAGTCACAGGCCCCTCCTTGCAGGTGGACGAGATCCTGGGAGACCAGCCCATTGCCAAGGAGCAGGTGTTCGCTGCCCTGAAGCAGTTCGCGGCCGAGCAGCAGGTGGATGACCTGGTGGGGGCTCTCACCCTGGCCCTGCCCCGCGAAGCCCGAGGGCCCCTTCTGGACAACCTCAGGTACCTGGGTCTGGGGCGGGGTGTGTCCCGCTCAGGGGTGCCCGCGGTCTCACCCAGGCTGAACCGGACCCCAACACCCCTTCGGCCCCAGAGCAAAGGTGAGCAGTGACCCTGAGAAGGGCGCCCGTTGGCTCTGCCCAGTGCCAGGGCATCACTTTGATTGAGAAGGAAAGGCTGGCAGCTGCTGGGCTGAGACCCGCACAGAGGGATCCACTCCCTGATCCCAAGTCAGAGCCTGCCCTGCCCTATCCCAAACCCAGGTCCCAGAAACCAGCAGGGTACCCAGGCAGTGCCCACTCTGTAGGAGACAGCCTGGCGCAGTGCGGAGCCCAGGGCTGTGCACTCCTGGCACCCGTCCCCCAGGGGGCGCTCTCTGCCCTCTGACGATGCCAGCCGGGCGTCAAGATCACAGGAACACTTATTCCCATTTCAGAGGCAGACTGAGGCTCAGAGAGGTTAAGGGACTGGCCCAAAGTCACACAGCAAGCGAGTGGCAGGCACGGGAACGCGAACCGGGTCAGCTGTGCACTTTCTGCTCAGCTTCGGACCCTCGCAGTTTATTCCTCCTATAATTTAATAATATATATTAAATGAGCGGGCCCGTACCTGGAGCGCCCGGGAATCCCCTGAGGCCCCTCCACGCCCCCTGCCTTTCCCGCCAGGGGGGCCACTGC